TTGGAAGAGTAACATAGCTTATTATTACTATGATGTTCTTAAAATTATTTACAGCATGGAACTAACAAACTGTATTGTATGATGACAATGAATGTGATGTTTCATATTAAGCTTGATGGAGGTGGCATCTGCAAGTATTCGCGATGAGCATCCAGAATCGTGCTATTTCAACTTTTCGTTTCATATCATAGAAGAATTCATTTTTTTAAATACAAAAGAAGTCATAAAGTTCTATTTCATGCATATCGAATTGATTTCATTAACTCCAAGTTAAATCTCTTCACCTTTATGGCCATCGAATATTTATTAGCGAGAAAAATCTCATCACTTCCCGTTCCGTTTGCATTAGAAGAATTCAAGAGTAAAATTGTTCATTTTAAGAAATCCGAAGTAAAGTGTGCGTCAAATAAGTAAATGTCTAAAAAGAGATGACTTTTTTTTAAGGTGGATGAAAAGCATTTAAAATGCGTCGGAAAAGTATCATATGATCCTGTGTTTTGGATACTATGTAGTAATTTTGTTTCGTAGATAGCCCTGAAAAATTCATTTCTTTGTAAATGACTGAACATTCTCCTTCGCAATGAAACTGACATTTTCAAAATATTCAGCAAAATAATGAATATTTTGTTAGAAACTCTGATAGCGGATTGATTTATAGACACATTTCATTAAGTATAAGAACTTTTGATCACGTTTGGGCTTCAGCGATGGCTCTGCATAAAAAGGCTAAAATGGGACGATTTAATCTAGAGGGGGGAGGGGAAACTGATCTGAGAATGTCTATTCTTGCCAGTTTATATTAGGTTGGAAGTGGGATATTATTAGAATTGTTTGCTGTCTAAGCAGTTTTTTTAAAAAAAGTCAAATTGATAGTTATTAAATTATATAGTTGTTACTTTTAGAGTTATTCTAAAATATTAAAAATTGCTACAAAATGCGCAATAATTTATGAAACGGAATCACTTTTGTTTCCGGTTGTCCTAAATTTTCTTATTCCTCTATGTATTTACTCAAAACATAGATTTCCTTCCGTTAAAACTGGGTTAATTAAAATTTAATTGAATAAGCTGTGGGCAGAAAATGTGAATTTAACATTACGCCTTTGATATTCATCCCGTAAGTGTAATTGTACACGCCACAAATGTATATTGGAATTTTAGAAGTTTCCTCTTCCCCCAAGCACCTTTATATGTTTCGAATCACCGGAATTACGTGATTTTTATTCTGTTTTTATCCATTTAATGCAATTTGAAAGAACGTGAATCCGTCGATCCATTTCTCGAGATTTCGAAAAGCCGCGTACCACTGTAGAGTGGTTGCTTGTTAGGATATTTTTATTTCTGCGCATTCTTTTCATTCTTCGAGTCGAACTTAACCTTTTATATATTCCTTTTCGAGCCCTTTCATATGCGGCTGCTGGAGGACGAGCGCAACTTTAAATCTAGTTTTTATTCGAGATCTCGTTATATTCAAATCGCATTTGATTCAGTTTAAATGCCCTTTTTAAGAATTTTCATTTCCAAAAATACATTTAATTTGTCCTTCAGAATTGCGGCTAAACTTTCGAAGATCGTTAGAACTATTTCTATAGCTTAAAAGGCATAAAAAGATTTTTTTGGGGGGGGGGAAGGTCGCCGTTCGTATGCTATGAGCAGATCTGGGAAGAGATTAGAATTTTCTTGGCTTTACATTATGTACAAAAGAAAACAGTGCAATGTTGTTTTTATAAAGGAGGGACACTCTAAGACACTGGAGGCATGTTCCTTGAGCCTTTTTAATAGTTTTTTAGAGGCTTAAAAATTGGTCTAATGGCATTTGAACTATGCCTAATTCTTGAAATATTATCCTGTTAACAGTAAACAAGCTGAGGTTATATAAGGATTTACACGTTTATTCAGGTTTTGCCATTGTATTTTATTCATCCAGCGTTAAAATCTTGAGAGCCAGTTTAGTTTTCCGTGTACATTTCACGCTAATACAGGGTTCGTGCGGTCCTTAAAAGTTTTTTGGAATCGATGTTTGGTCCTTAAAAGTCCTTAATTTTGGCCAAAAACGGCAGAAGGTCCTTAATTTTAATCATCAGAAATGTCTGTCTGTTTTTTACAACTGCCATTTTGAGTGTGAATTATCATTTTGGAGGAATATATTTGGCGATTCTCTGACATATACGGTTATCTTTTGAATGTGTTCATGGGTTATAATTTGTTCCTATTTCTATTTGAATGGGTTCATGGGTTATAATTTGTTCCTATTTCTAATATAAATGGTGGGGTACTGGAGTTTCTAAGCAAGAAGTGAAACATAAGCATTTCGGAAATCATTTTTTCTAAGAAGAGCTCTTAAAGAACTTTTTTGCCTCTATTAAACGCTTCTGAATTTGGCGACTTATCAACATTTTGGCGATTTTAAGATCAGTTTCTATAAAAGGTTTTTAATTCCGAGATCTTGAAATTTTTCGACAATTGTTTTTTAAAACATATTTTTAAACTATACATGGTGTTTCTATATTTTACAATTTTTAATGAAGGTGTTTTTATATATTTTTGCCTTACCATGAAATGAGAAATGAATTGATTGATTGAATGAGCAATATATCTGTAATGAAATTCAAGGAAATAAGTTTAAATGAAGTGCGGCAAAAATGTATATAAATTAATAAGCCGTACGAGGACTCATGGTGTCCACATCAGAATTTATTTGTTTATTCTTAATGTCATCATCATTTACGAGTTTATATCTAAGTGAGCCAATACATAACTCAAGTTGTATTCATGGCAGATAATTATTTGCCTAATTTTCTTAGATTTCACGGTGGGCTCTATAATTTTATCTTGAATTCTTTCAGTTTCATTTTGCATTTTTGATTGTACACATTGAAAATAATTTTTTCATAGTAATTTTTCACTTGTTAATTCCCGAGAGATAAATGTGTTGAGGTTACAAAGTGTGTTAAGTTTTAGGCATTTATCCATTATTGTCCTGTTGTTATTTAATTGATTAACATACAGCTAAAAAGGAGCCACTTTTTGTATTACACTGTTGTTTTCAATATTATATCATAAGATAATTTTTTTTTTATTTACTAATAGTCTAGTTTTTTTGGGGGGGGGTTATTTCTAAGAATTTACCTGGAACAAATAAAATATTATCCACAAAGTAATTAATTCCTAGCTTCATCTTTGATTATGTTAAATATTAGAATGCATTTAATTTTGATTTTGCCTATGAAGTACTCAGAAATGGCACTTTACTATACAGTCAAAAATCTTGTTTTCATTTTTATTTAATTTTTTAATTGCTTTGCATGGATATCAAGTATTAAAATGTGTTGTTGAATATTAATGTTTACTTTTTTGCGTGATTTTTGGGCGGATTTTCTTTTAAAGATAATCTTGATGTTCTACTTACAAATTATACATAAGTTTTAGCATATTTTAAAAAATACTTAATTTTTTAGGGGCACCAGTTTTTTTTAAATTTTTTTCTACTATACGCTTAAAAAATTTCTGTTTTCATTTCTTTAATATTATAAGAGTTCTTATTCTTATATGATTGGTATTAACTGCTTAAGCAAATATAAAATTAAGGTAGTTTTAACTGGAAAAGTGAAAAATAAATTAGTCACTTATTCATTTTATTAAATGTTCATAACAGTAGCTCCATAAACTTATAATTCTTTGCTGTAATAATGGTTTAGGCTAAATTCTTGAAAGGATATGGTAAGTAGGGGTGCTCCGTATCTTCTCTTTAATTTGTTTTGGACTAGTAATGAGTAGAAATGAGAATTAAAACACACTAATGGTAACCTCTTCCTTTCAGGAAGAAATACGATGGACACTTCCATTTATTGGGATAAACAAGTTTGTAGATTTCAAAACGTAAGGTTTAAATGCATCCTTTTCAAAACTTTTTACTCATTTCTTTATTTTTTACATCTTTAACCATATATACGATAAGCAGTGCTGTTTTGCTTCCCTTTTTTTAAAAGAAAAAGTAGCTTTGCTGTTTAGAACTATTGTCAAAATTTTAAAAGCCTTAAACATCAGTTTTTATTAACTATATGATCGTTTCTTTTTTCTTTTTTTCCCCTTTGATTTACTTAGTGGGAATAGCGTGTTATTGTTTTTAATCCATTTTGTACCTTATCTTGTTAGTCAGTTTGTTTCAGCATTCAAATTTATTTCCTGCCTTTGGTCCTCGCTGAATACAATTGCCACTGAAGCAGGTTTGGTTTCTTTTAAATCTCTTTATTTTTTTCATTTCATTTTTGTAATTTTAGTTTTTATAAATATACCTCGGATATATTTTTGTAAAAAAGTTTTAAGTGGGAAGGCAGTTGCTAAATTTGTATAACTTCTGACCTTATTCTGTGTTATCTAACACAATAACCACGCTAAAAAAGGGGGGGAGATGATTACCATTTAAAAAGAAAAAGTTAAAGGATGAAAGGGAGGGAAAAGATTTACACATATTTAAATATAACTCAGTGTAAAATTTGCATTTTTATAGTCTCTAGGTAAGTAACTATAAAAATTGCTATTCGGTTTATTAGAACAAACTTGTTGAAATGAAATCTTAAAATTTCATTTTGGTACAAAATGTTTGGTTTTTAATTAATTTGAATATATTCAGAAGTAGCATATTTTGCTGTGAATGCAGAAGTGTTATTGAATTCTAGCTGTTCACATAGACATATACACACAATTTCTCTCTCTGTTCATTAAGCAGTTAAAATACATTTAAAGATATGAATTTTAATATTTGTAATACAACTCATAATTTCTGTAATTTTCTTGCAAATTATGTTAGGACTAATAAATATACTAACAACAATTAATTTTTTTTTTAAATTTCTGTGGTAAGTATACTTGTTATGTAATTGCAGCTATTGAATTATTTTTGTTTTCCTTTAGAGAAAATATCATCTGCAAACAGATGGTTGCATTTTATTACTTCCTTTTATTATGAAATTGTGTTGTTAACAAGAATTTTATTTCTAGGAAATGAAAGTGAATTGGGCAACATCCCCTAGTAACACTCCAAAACAAGATACAAGTAGTAAGTAACTCTTTAATATTCTTTTTAATGTTTCTTTCTATCAAAGTCACTTTTGAGCTTATCTTTTAAAAGATTAATAGAAAATACTGTTTTATATCTTTTAATGTTGAAAAGTTTAATAATTTACTGTTAAGACTTGATTTAATTATTTTTATTTAAATTTTTAAACACTTTATAATAAAATGTTAGTTATTAATAAACAAGTTTTAAGTATTATTAATAAATAAGTTGTGTGCCAGTATTTTGGAGCTGGTTTGTATACCATTATATTATCAGCAGTCATTGTAATAATCTGATTTAGCAGCCATGGTAAATATTTTTTTATAATTTGCTAATTTCACTTCCTTTCTTAAGTGCTTTTTTTAATTATTAAATCTTGAAATGTACTTTAACAGCTATAAATGTAAGTATACTTTCTTCATTATCATTTTATCACTTTATATGTAGCAAAATTTTATGATTTTTAATGTGTTGAGTTTTTATCAATGGTTTTACAGTTTCATTAAAATATTGTAATTCCCTTTATCTTCTCCTTTCTCGCTTTCAATATGTCAGATAAAATAGTTATGAAGAAAAGTCAAAATAAATAGATTGGTCTTTTATTTAAAAAAAATGGAAACAATTTTCATGTGTGAGATAAAAAAGCATGTGGCTATGGATGAGAGAAACACATTGTTAAACAATTTTAGGCAACCTCAGAAAGTGTGGAGGGGGGAGTTATATAATTTGTCTTCTATGTTCTCTGTATATAATGAGAGTAATTATTTTGTATAAGATGTTAGCTGTACATGTCTAAAGTGCAGTATACATATTAATTTACACCTTATGCAAATATAAATATCTATTATTATATTAAAAATTTTATAATAAAATATTTAGAAATGTGAAAAAAACCAGTTATTAATTCACATTTCAGTATTCACATAATTCGTTACATATTATGTAACTTTCTCTAATGTGAATTTTTTTAGTGTAGAGGGTAAATATTTTAGAATATAATGTTATTCTCTATTTAAGTATATCCATTCGTTAAGGATTGCTGCTTTTGTAATACAATTTGTGTATTTAAATTATTATCTCAAATATGCAATTGAGTAATTGCATTAAAAGGTCTGAAAGTATGTCTGTTAAATAGAATATTGCCCTACACATAAATGGATTAATATATTCACCATTATTAACTGAATTTGCTAATTTGCTTGAATCAGTAAAAAAAAAAAAAAAAAACCCACTTTCATTTTGTGAAACCTCGTCTAAAGAACTTTTGTTCATGAATGCTGTTTACCATTGAAAATGTTTGTAAATCAAAACTATTTTAACCATAGAAATTATTGTAAAATAGAAGATTAATCCATTCTAGGTCTTGATGAATACTTTTTTTAGACAATTACATCAGAAATTTAAAGTTTGTAGAATGGAACCATTAAAATCTAAGGCAAAAATTACTAAACAATGAAATAGACAACAGTTCAATTTTACCACACAATAGAGAAAGAAGAGTTCTTGGCATAAGTAGAAGTGGATGAGGAAGAAAAAGTAAAGAAAGAAATGATATTTGGTTAGAGAGGTCTCTTTTCTTTGAAATATTGGGTAACTTGCCTTTTTGGGGCTCCCCCCCTTTTTTTTCTTTTTTAATTATCCCCTCTCTTCTTATGTTAGTGCTACTCAACCTCTGTTTGAGACTCACTGGGATTTTGTCTATATCTCTCAAACTTTAGGGCCTTATCCCGTTTTACACAAATGTCATGGCTGAAAGAACTGGAATCATCTTTTTTTTTCCTTTCTCTTCCTTTTAAGATATTTCCATCATAATCATTTATTTTTATTGCATAGAAGCTGTTGCAGCTGTTTCATGCTCAGTAAATTTTCCTGGCCAAAAAAATAATTCTTGTGTGTCTTCATTCTGAACGTCCAAGCATGTGCGTTTGTGTAGAGATGGTAACATACATAGCAAGAAGTAAGTGTCTGCCTGCCACCCAGTTTAACCTTAATTTCCTCCAAATTGAAATTATGGTTCTCTAAGTCACTCCCAGGCTGTGTTAGAGTTAAGCATAAAAAAATATAACATTATTTTCTTGAAGTCTCCAATTGATTCAGTGTAATAGGTTATTACAAAATACCCTTGAAAATAATTTGTTAATGGCATGAATGTTCGTATCTCAAGACATTACTCAAGGCATTTTTTTGTTTAAGACATTTGTTTGTGAATTGGAATTGTTCCCGGTGAAAGGGGTTTGTGATACAAGGTTCTGCCACGCTGAAAATGTGGCAGTCATTTGCAGTAGCATGATGATTTATGATGGATTCTGTGGTGTCCATTGGCTATGAAAATATTAAACAGACTTTCTTCTATTATGCCAGAATTTACTATTGCTTACTTAAGTATTTGGATTTGTATGAAGTTTGATTATTAAAATAATGTATGTAATTAAACATTATTTATCATATTTGTATGTAGTTAAATCATTTTTCAAAAAAGTTCAGCTTTCTGAATTAAGAATTTATGAAAGTTCAAATAATGTGTAATATAATAAGAATAAGTAATAATAGTATTGTTTCGATGTTGCAAAAAACATAAATGTCTGTTATTAGTAAAAGAATTGGGATTAAAAACCATTTTCTAGAAAATCAAAAGAAGATTTATAGTTTTTATTTATTGTGTTGGTATTATTGAAAAGGAACAAAAAAAATTTTTATGAGAGTGCTAGAATGGGAAATGTGTTATTAAACAGCATCTTTGAAAAAAGTGCACACTGAGTTTTAAATTACTCAAGCACATAACTGTTGTTAAAGTGATTTTGTTATGTTGCAATTATATCAGTCTAATTTATTATACTTATTGTTTTTGTGTGTGTATATATGGAAATAAATTTAGGAAGCCTTTAGCTTAACTATAAAATTTTTATTTGTAAAGAATTGGTTAGCAATTAATAGTTATTATTTGCAAAAAAATTTTTAATATAATTGTGAGGAGATTTTTAATAATATTTTTATTATGTAGAACATTACCATATTTTTGTGGGAGACCTTAGTCCTGAAATTGAAACTGCACAACTACGAGAGGCCTTTGCACCTTTTGGGGAAATATCGTAAGTAGATATGTCACTTTCATTTCGGTGATTATTTTTAAATTTGTATATTAAGCAGTTTTATTTCATGATTTTCTTCTTTTCTTTTAGGGATTGCCGAGTTGTACGGGATCCTCAGACGCTCAAGTCGAAAGGCTATGGGTTTGTTTCATTTGTTAAAAAAGCGGTACGTGTTCAAATGGAGCAGCCAGCAACCAAGCTAGCAGCTGGTTAGAGTTAGGGTACTTAAGCCATTTCACTTGTACCTTAGCTCATGGTATTCTTTACCATGACTAATGAAAGTTATTTGCAAATGAAAAGATTTAGAAAAATTTATTTTGGGGAATAAGCAAGGAATAATATCGTAGGCGATAAAGCTTTTTGAATTGTCTTTTAAAGGTCAAAGTTCTCATTTGAAGTAGATGAAATTGCAAATAACTCTGGTAGAAATTGGCAAACTGAATTTTCTATGGAATTGTATAAATATCTTTCTGCTGAGTAGTGTAGCGTAAAATTTTTCCATTTTTCTCTGTTTTACATGAGATATATTTTCAGCATTATAATTTTAGTGTCTTTTTTGTTTGTGGTCTTTGAAAATATTGTTCTATCGCATTAATTTTAAATTATCACTGTATTAATGTCAAAAGTATTATTTTAATTAACAGCAGATAAATTTTAAAATGAATACTTCTATACTTTGAAGCATATAATATTATTCTAGATTTGTGTAAAGTATCTCTTTTTTGAAGTTCCTATTCTTTAATTTAAATTCTAATATTTTACTGTATGTTAAATAAATATTGTATAATCATATATAATCTACAAGCACTAAATAGTATTAAAAAATTATTTTCAAATTTATTTTCCTTTTCTTTTCCCCTATGTTTTACTTAATCCTCATTAATAATTGTTGCATAAATTGTAATTTAATAGAATTTTTAAAAATTAAATTAGTATTTAAAACACAAATTAAGAAATATATTAATTTCTTAGTAAATAGTGTGACAAAATGCTTCCTTTTTATATTTCCAGGATGCTGAGAATGCCATAACTACAATGAATGGGCAATGGTTAGGTAGTAGAGCTATTCGAACAAATTGGGCTACGAGGAAACCACCTGCCAATAGATCTCAGAATGAATGTAAGTCTATTAAATTACAATTTTTTAATTAAGAGAAAACGTTCACTGATTTTCTATTTTTTGAAATACTGAAGTATTAATAATTAACATTTAGAAAGGGAAATTAGATTATAAAAATATATTTTCATTGTAATTCACATGTCAGAAATTCATCATTCATGTCTCAGGAAAGTAAAAAGGATTTTCACTTTGAAACATATACGATTATTTTCATGTGTGTCTGCGTGCATGTTTTACTGCATTGTAATAATGTTTAATAGTATCGCCTTTTGAGTACTGTGTCTTAATATTTTCACTCTAAAAATAAAGTAAAAATTCTGCTTATAAACTTCATGACATTTCTTTTCTTTAGCTTCTGCCAAACCCCTTGCATTTGATGAAGTTTATAATCAATCAAGCCCTACAAATTGTACTGTATATTGTGGTGGAATAGCTCAAGGATTATCTGGTATGAAACTAAGCTTTCATTTTCTCTTCAGTTTATTTAAAATTTATTCAGTAACCTTCAAGCATATGGCTGTCATTGAAATGTTTAGAATTATTGAAAATAAAACTTAGTGCTTATAGTATTTTGTATTGTTTTATTTGCAGATGATTTAATGCAGAAAACATTTAGTGCATTTGGAGCAATACAAGAAATTCGAGTATTTAAAGATAAGGGTTATGCTTTTATTAGGTATGTTGTTTCTTTTCTAGAAGTGCTCAGAGAACTAATGTCCTAAAATGACATTCTTTGAAACATGTTTAGTATATATAATTATTTGCATGCATTAGTAAATTAAGTTTTTTCTTGCCCCTGTGTTGTCTGTCACCTCTACTGCATTTAATAGAGCTCAAGACATTTCATTCACTCTGGAAAATTTTGAGGGTGGGGCAGTTAGCTGAAGCCAGGGCAGAAATAGACAAACACTGGTTTTTTTTTTTATTATTATTATTTATTTATTTATTTATTTATTTATTTTTTTTTTTTTTTTTTTTTTTTTTTTTTTTTTTTTTTTTTTTTTTTTTTTTTTTTTTTTTTTTTTTTTTTTTTTTTTTTTTTTTTTTTAAGTGCTAGAAAATTCTAGTGAAGTGACTAAATTAAAAGACCTTTATTATAAAGAATATATTTTTGAATATGTACAGAATTTTTTTTTCAGTATCTTCTAATAAGTTCTCGTCTTACCTAAGAAATAGCAGAAGTGATATAAATTATTATATATGCACTTTAATTTTTGTTGTGCTTTCAGGTTTGCCACAAAAGAAGCAGCAACTCATGCCATAGTAGCCACTCATAATACAGAAATAAATGGACAGACAGTCAAATGTTCTTGGGGAAAAGAAGCTGGGGATCCAAATAACCAGCAACAGCAGCAGGTAGTAAGTATCTTAAAAGATTGCTTAAATTTTATAAAGAAGAATTCAGCTTTTAATATCTAATCATTTAATTTTGCATGAAGATTTCTTTAGAAAATATGTCTTTTCCAAGTAGGTCAAGTCTAATAATTGATATTTACTTTTCATATAGCCTTTTAAAAATACTATTCTGTAATAAAACTCTTTTTCCTAGACTTAATTTAATATCATGTATCAGCTTTGTAGTAACTAGGAATTAAACATGTAAAATATAAAATATTTAATGAGCTGGCATTAATGTATTTTAGGACAATCATGATGCTTTCCAGAATATAGCAGCACAATATACTTACCCTTACCAACAAATGGGTTACTGGTATCCCCAAGGCTATCCTCAAATGCAGGCTGGTCAATTTATGCAGGGAATGCAGTACCCATATGGACAGTACTATGGTCAAGGTTTTGGGTAAGTGCAATATCTGTTTGTTTTTTTTTTCTCCCACTTTTATTATTACTCCTTGCTTTTATTAGTAAATTTACTATTGCATAAATATGTTAAAAGTTTACATTTTAATTGCATGCAATTCTATATTTTGTCTTTTTATTCTTTAAATTAAATTTTAGTTAACTTTTTAGTTTATATAAAATTATAATAAACATATTTAATTTTTTAAATCATTGCCAAAGTTAAACCTTTCATGTTAGGCTACCTGAAGAAAGCAAGTAAGGTGAAAATTTTTATTATTGTCTTTTCATTCTCATAGTCATCATTTTAAAATTAAATTTTTCATCAATATAAAATTTTTTAAACTTAAGTGCAAGTTGCTTTTCCCTGAGCTGTTGTCATGTTTTCTCAAATTAGAAAAGGAAAAAAAAAAAAAAATTAGGTTACTACTGTAAAACCTTGCTGATTTTTCCCCCTTTATAAACTGCAATAAAACTCGTTTATTTAAATATTATTTATATTTATAGTTTTTCTTTGTTATAATTTATTAACTGGTTTCGGCTGTTTTAACAATCGGGTCTTCAGAATTATTTTAAAAAAAGGCAATGAGTTTAAAGAGATACATCTTGTTAGTTTTTGACTCTTAAACTTTCTTGCCACGTAGCCCAATAAGAAGACGCGATGAGCAACCTAAACAGACTGTAAGAGATGCCGCCGCACCATATGTTGTGCGGGGAGATTCGAAATCAACAACTTACAGGTAAATTCGGACTTCAAGCGCATGATATAAAATCAAATTAGGAAAGTTATATCAGGAAATTTTTTATTTATAAATTTAATAACAAGGTTTTACCGTAGTTAGATGGTTTAGGTTGTTAAAAATCTGTTAACCTGCCTTAACCCTCTCACTGCATACTTTTTTTTATCAAAATATGTTCAAAAATTGCATATTTTTTATTACGTATTTCAAATCTACATATATTTACATAATCTACATATATTAGTTAAATATACAAAAAAAAAATTGTAAAAGAGTTTTTTTAATATAGAATTAGATCATAGAAAAAGATTGTTAAGAATACTGAAATTGAAGAATAATGATATAAAAGGAAAATTTTGAAAATTAATATTGGTTAAATTATGATTTATTTTATAAAATACAAAGGTAAAACATATGTACTAATGAAAATATTTGCATAATGTAATATTTTGCATATCAATTTTGCTCCACTGTCGAATGTTTTCAATAGAAACTGAATTTTCAGATTCATCACTATTTGCAGAGGAATTCGAAAAATTCTCATCAGTTTCGCTATAATCTTCAATATACTTGAAATCAGAGTCAGAACTACTATCGGTGTCGGAAATATCGTCAAGGATACTGGTTATATCACTTGCGAAACGTTTCCTGCCAGACATCTTTGAGCTCTGAAAAGTGCACGCAAAATGCTACATTACATTTTCTCATATATTTGGCAGAAATGTGAACAACTAACACCATCTGTTAACCCATATCTAAATAAACAATTAAACATCACAGAAAAGCTAAAAGGAAACCTTAAATGGGGAAAGAGTGGGTTGCACAGTTAAATAGACGGCAAAAATTCATCCCCGCGAAGATCGCAGGTTGCGCAAATTTTGCTACATTTACGTGCTACACAATCGTGGGATGCGCAGCGAGAGGGTTAAGTTAAGGTTTTGCACCTTTAAAGGCAGATTGTGTAAAGCATTTTTGCTTTTTTATGGAAAGCTGTTCTGGTGGAAGTGTAACCTAAACAAATTGTTAATGAAGGCAGAAGCTGTTTTTTGTACATAAAAACACTAAATCAAAAATATATCTTCTCTATTGAAGCTTAATGCTTTTGCTTCATCTTTAATTTATGAAATAGCTCGAGAAAATTAAAATTTTTAGCTACCACCAGCTGCAATGGCTTCTTGCACTTACTACCTTTAAACTCTGTGCCTGCAGTTTCAAATTAAATATCCTGTGCTTGAAGTTTTTTGATCATTTATTTCATTTCTTTAGTTCTTATTTTCAATTCTTGTACTGTTTACATGTTAAATGTTTTTTTAATTGTGCTTGTTCATTGTTCTTGAAATTTAATTGATAATGTAAAGATTATTTTTATTTGGAATGGTTTCTTGTGTTCTCCTCAGTAACCTCTGTATGAATGATGTATGTTTGAAAATTTTTCCTTCCTAAAATATTTTTTATTTAATTTTTTTAATCATTAAAGTAAAATAAGTGATGCATGTGTTTGTCAAAAGCATGCAAAATAATTATATATGTGTAAATGTAAGATAAACTTGTTTGTTAAATAAGTTTCATTTTTTTGGAACATCTGAATATTTTTAATATGCTTAGCACTGAATGAGAATTTTTTTTCCCCTTATGTATGTTCTTTTTCTTTTCTAGGTGATTTGTCATACCTGCCATATTATATGATGTAGATTGACTTTTGAAATAGCATTTATCCTTGCAGCGAAATGTGTCCCAACAAAACATGTTTCTTTTTATGACTTTTGATTTGCATTGAAAATATGTAAAAGTTCATTGAATATTATGTGTATATTTGTTACTCTCTGTAAGACTGTTAAATGGCATTATTATAAGCAAGCTACATCATATAATAAGTAAGGAAAAAGCTCCATATCTGAGAAGAGTTAAAAGTTGAAGAAACTAAGATATTTTAATTTTAATGTATGAAATTTTTCATTGGTGTAGACTGTAAAGCAATGTAGTTTCTCAACATTTCTGGCTCATAGATATGAATAAAAATTAATGTATCTCTGATATACCTGTGTTTGTCTTTTTTTGTCCCTTTTTTTTTTTTTTTTTTTTCCCCTCCTTTTTTTTTTGGTAAGTTTTTTTTTTTTTTTTTTTTTAAATTTAATTTTCTAATAAGAGAAAATTTTTCTGTCACAATACATGCTCCTAGAGAGAGTTTAAAAATATTTTAATTAATTTAATATAATATTAAATAAATATTTTAATTATTTTAAATAATAAATTTTAATCTTATTTATTTAAATAAATTTTATTCAAAATATTAATTTAAAAGATTTTTATATACAAATACACGAAAATTCATGTAATTAGGTGAAAAGCTGTGAACGTATAGGTCTTTTCTATTGGGAAAAAAATACCAAGAGTAAGTTCTTTGGTCATTTCTAGAACTTTTAATGTATGTTGCTTGAAATTACAAGCTGAGTGTTACCTGAAAAGTGTATATTTTAAGGAGAGATGCACTTGGATATGTATAGTTAAGTAACAAAAAAAAAAAAAAAAAGGGAGAAAGGAAAAAGGAATATTTTTAGAAGAGAAATTTTATTTATAGCTGTGTGATGATAATTGTAATTGATAATGAAATTCTGTGTGTGTAATAGTTTTAATAAATATAAGGTAAATATGAAATATATTTCAAGAAATATAAATAGCTTGCAAGTCCGGTAAGTGAACTGTGTCCAGTTTTTTTTTATTTTTATTTATTTATTTATTTCAGCTTTGATCATAATTATTGAGAAATACCATACATAGGGCATACAAAAATTATTATAGTTTCAGAAGCGACTCGTATTTAATCAAAGTTTACTAAAGCATAACCTAGAAGCTTCAAAAACTCAGAATTTTTTGTGTTAAACTTTTATAACATGACTATAAATTGCTTCATTCCTCAGCCTATGATATAGTTGGAGAGATCCCTGACAGGCTTAGGATGTGCTACTTCATCATTTATCTGCACCTTACTACAGAAAAATTGTCTTCTTGTACAAGATAAACCTTTATTCCAACCTTCATAACTGATACAGGGTTGGGTTGTAAAAACATTCCAGTGAGATTTTGCCCCTCTTGTATTGAGATGATGATTTATGGTGCGAGTTGGAATACTTCCATCATGCTTTTAACCCCCCTTCCCCCCCTTTTTTTAATTTTGTTGACTGGCGGTTTTTGCATGTTGGGTTCTATTATCTATATATATTCAGATACCTTATTAAATCATTGCCAAGGCATTATAGCTGCATTTAAAACTGAGCCCAAAACTAGGTTGGTATATGCCACTTGACAATTGCTGAAGAACAACTGTTTTGCAAAATTTTGTTCCTGTCAACATCACAGTCTCAGGAAAAGTAAATGTAGTAAGGATCGTAGAGCAAGTCTTTATATCTGCATAAAATGTAATGCACTCATATTTTTTTAAAATTCATAATTGCTAACAGTAGCATTTGAGAGAAAACATCCAGTACTTAAAATATTACTGTAAATTTGACAACTGGGCAATGAAAAGTGTCGTTCAAGTTGCCACAGAAATAGACATATCGATGAGTGTTATCTCATGGTTAAAGAAGGCTGCTGAAGGTGGAATTGCCATGTAAAATCATGCTCAGGAAAAAGAGGGATAGATTTGAAAATGGTGGCAAATAGGAGAAGCTATATGATTACATGCACATCTCAACAAAATATTGTAAATCCACTAATGCTACTGGCACTCATGTCTCTGAGAACCGTTTCTCGATCATTAATTAAAAGTTGTTTATATGTACAAGAATTTGTTGCATGCCATCTTTTGCAAACAAACCATGACAGGAAAAGATGTACCTTGGTTTAAAGAGCGTATTACCAAAAGTGATCCCAGAGTCTTGTTCTACAGATGCTATAAATTATCCTAGTAGACTTCATTCTGCTTACAATGTAAGCTGAACAAGAAGGTATAATAATATAAGCACCTGGGTCAAGACAATAATTATAAAGAACATTTTAATTCCAAAGACTAATAAAAAGTTCAGTGTAACTCATCACATCCTACATTTGTATCTGTTGGAAACAGGGCCTTTCAGTGCATTGCATAACTTCCTGTCCCTTGACAGCAGGGCATTATATCAATCTATAGCAGCATATAAAAGATGTACACTGCTCAAAACAATTAAAGGATATTGCGGTTTTAGGTGGATCTTGTGGCTGGGAAACTTTTTAGCTGATTGATACATAGTCAACAGACGTAGTAGGTTATATGAGAATAAATTAGTTTGGTTATATGAGAATAAATGTTTGGCAGAAAAAAATGCATTTTATTGCGCATTTGTGTACAAAAGGAAAAAAAAACACAATTTGTGCATATGAGAAAAAAAGAATAACAAAAGGTGTTTTCTTCAAAGGAAATCATTTTCAGTAGGGGGTATGGTTTCTACGAACGGCTAGCAACATTGAACACCTTTGAGGCATGGAGTCAATGAGGCTATTAATCACGAGTTGGGGTATCCTCTCCCACTCTTCCAGAAGAGCTCTTTCCAGTTCTTGGAGAGTTTGCGGGGGGTGGTTGGTGGCCAGCAACTCATCTTCCTAAAGCGTCCCAAACGTGCTCTATTGGATTCATGTCTGGAGAACACGCTGGCCATTCCATTCATATGATTCCTTCCTCGAAAAGGAAATCCTCCACCAGGTTAGCACGATGTGGCCTGCAGTTATCGTCCATTAAAATGAAGTTATCTCCGATTGCTGCAGCGTAAGGGACTACAATAGGTCTGAGAATTTCATCCCTATATCGGCGACCAGTCGGAGGTCCATCTTGAATGATGTAGAGGTCTGTGCACCCGTCAATGTAGATGCCACCATACACCAACACTCCCCCACCTCCAAATCTGACACTTTCGTGCACGAACGCAGGATTATTCCTATTGCCATGGTCCCTCCAGATGAAAATATGCCTATTATCAGGATGAACAGAAAAATGGGACTCATCAGAAGAAAGAGCATTGCTCCATTCATTTCTCCTCCCTCTTCTAACCTACCAACAACTCTGCAAGCTTCTGAATCCGTTAAATGACTTCGCTGAGACATCGTACTCATCGAAACAAAGCAGTCACTGAATGCCGATCATCCTTGTCTTCATTGTCTTTTATTCAGTTGAAAGTCAAATTTCATTCGCTGCTGCTGATGCGACGTTTTTGACGCCGAACTCAAAATTAGCATACTCCACAGTTTGAAAATCAGAAAAATTTGCATTTGCTCTTCCATTTTCGGCAAAAAAAAAATTTCGCTTGTATCTTTATTTTATATAAAACTTGTGTTGAACTGGTGATGATCATGAGTAATAATTAAATAAAACGTACATTTGTTATCCAATGTATATACAGTCAAAAGTCGTTAATTCGGACACCCGTAATCCGGAATGATCTTTAATCCGGACCTCAAAGCTACAAACTTTCTGCGCATGCGTCGTGTTGACGCATGCGCGTAAGACCTTTACCGCTGCGAATTTGCGTGCGCAAAATACGTTTACGAATGCGCGTTTAATGTATAACGGACGGGATAAGCTAAGCTAAAATTATCTATCTATTTCAGTTAATGTTGCAGATTGCGTTGTTCCTTAATCTCTTATCCGGATTATTATTTTTTGCAGACTGTTAGAGCAATTTTATAAAAGTAAGCTTAAACTTTCGATTATGTCAAATAGAATTTCCGATATATATTTACTAATATGTAAAGGATATACAAAGCGAAAGTATCTTTCGAAGTCCATTAAACAAAAAGTGGAATTGCTGCAAAAAATGGATAAAGGCATAGCCTTTGTTTATCTAAACTTTAACGTTTGTTTATCTTTAACCCGGCTGCGGCGTGCAATGAATTGGAAGTTGATCTGTCAGCACTATCCTTATCTTAAGGGCAGATGTTTTTATTTTATTTGGCTTATAATTGCTTACTCAATGTAGTATTTCATCTCGATGTACTCTGTCTTTGATATGATTTAAATCAAATGCCTCGTCATTATAATTCGCTTCGGATAGCGAAGAAAGTGACAGAGGTTATTGAAAACGAAACAATTTCGATTGACAAATTAGTTGGTATTCTCGACACAGCAATTATAGGACTTGAACAGCGGAACTTTGTAACTGAACAAGAAATTATGTCTGTTTATAGAATTAAAGAGAATGTATTATCACATAAAAAACGAAGCAACTTAAACAACTTACATTGAAAGAAATGTTTAATAAAGTAAACAAATAAATATTAAGCTTTTTTTTTTTTTTGTAAATTTTGATACCCTTTAGATCATAATTGCTCTTTATTTCGTAAATTACGGTTTCATATTTTTAATTTTATAATTTCTGCATGCCATTTTACCAGATTTAAACTGATGATCTATAATCCGGAATCGCCGAAGTCCCGACGAGTCCGGATTAACGACTTTTGACTGTATCTTAAATTTTATTAAGTTTCTTAAGTGGAAAAGTAAACAAATTATCAAACAAAGTGTACCAAGAATAATTAAGAATAAATGTCCGCTGGGATTTATGGAATAATTAAGTGAATTTGCTGCACAATACAATTAATACCATAATTAATTTACCTCTTAGCACAGCCAACGTACATCACGCGGATAAGACTGGAATTTTCTCGAAACATACCTGGAAAAGTCAGGGAATTTCGTTCTCCTGTTTGAGTGGCAACCCTGAGTAAAATATACCAGTAGTATAGTTAAAAGCCAGAAAAATTTTTAAAAAGTAGTGCGTATAAAAACGAAGCTATTATTGTTATTGATTGGAAATTATTTGCCTTATCATGAGGGAACAAACCAAGTAGATCCTATATATATCAATAGGAGCTTGAGAATAAGGGCATGACATATACACACTGGCCAATGAATTGAGAATGAGAATTCCATTTGAATGTAGATCATTCTTCTTTTTTTTTTTTTTTTTTTTTTAATTTTTATTTGAATGCATGCTAGGGATGAAGTATGCAAATCTTTTTATGACGTGGGATACGCCTGGTTAGAATGATAGTACAGTGGAACCTC